AATGTGAGCAGTACAACACTCATAAAGGGATTTCCATTATTTACACCAGAGCAAAAATATTCTTTGGAAAACAGTGGAGTGGTACTTGATAATAAAAAACTATGTGATTCCAATATAAATTTTGACGTCATCATACCATTAAAATTATTATTTGGATTTGCTGAGGATTATAAACAAGTTACAACACTGACTTGAATGCAATACATCAAACTGAAATAGCTAATGCGGCAGCAGAAAATATAAAAATTACTCTTGATAAAATTGAATGATTGGTGCCATATGTTACAATGTCTGATTCGAAGAAAGTTGATATGTTAAGTTACATCAGTAAAGATCCATCGATATCGATACCCTTCGGATCATGGGAGCTATATGAATATCCATCTTTACCTATAACAACGAAACACATCTGGTCTGTGAAGACAACAAATCCACTAGAGAAGCCAAGATATATTATATTTTCATTACAAACTGAACGTAAAAATCAATTATCAAAACATGCTAATATATTTGATCATCGTAAAATTAAAGATTTTGCTGTTCATTTAAATTCACAGTGATATCCATATGCTAACATGAATATTGATATTTTTAATAGTAAATATGCACTTTTGTATGAAATGCATACGAATTTTTATTTATCCTATTATAGTAAAAACATTAAAAGACCATACTTAAATGAAGGAAATTTTATGGAAAGAGGACCATTCATTGTAATAGATTGTTTAAGACAAAATAAATCTGTTGAAGCAGGGCCAGTCGATGTTCGTCTTCAATTTGAAGCGACTGGAGTGTTTCCCCTGGGTACAACTGCATACTGTTTAATTTTACGTGATAGAATAGTTGAATATAAATCATCAAGTGGACAAATCCGTAAATTAATTTAGAAAATACATAATTATATGTTTATATTTATGTTTTATTTTAAAAATTGTAAATATTTATATACAAATAAAAAAATTAAAAAAAAAGAAAAGTTGTTGTTATTTAGAAAAATTTTATAAATATTTCAGGATTAGAGGTTTTTTTTTATCATAGAAATAAGTAAAAAGCATACATATCATTAATCTTACAGTTTATTTAAAGAAGAAAAAAAATTATATACAACATTTGATACATTTTTTCAAAATTGTAATTATTAAATATTTACTAAACGAAATTGATTAAAATCGTAAACCTCCTTCTTAGGACAATAAGCAACTCTAGGAGTTGATTTGCCCCGACGAACTTTAAATTTAGAATTTTTTATTTATTCTGAAGCCATCCATATCAATGATGTGTGTTATTTTTGGATAATTTTCCATTATTGGAAATTTCAGCTTTAATTACATTCAAAAAATGAAACTTTAATTAAATTTTTTTATTTAATATCATGATGATGGTAATGATGACCAATTGCTTCTTCAATTTATATTGCTTGATATTCTGCAACACATGGCGACTAGTAATTCAGGTGTTCCATTATTTCCAATACGTTGAGAGTACTTTTTTTGAAGTTTTTTAGTTTGATGATTATAATTCTTGCTTTTATTCATATCAAACTAATATGCACTAAACGGTAATATTCCTTTTTTACATATAGTGATAAACACTATATTAATTATATACACTTCTGGCACAGTTCGTTGAATTTTTTCACATAAAGTTTGATTCAACTCAAGTCTGTTTCAAATGTATAACTTGTAAAACTGATCACTTATTAACAACCTTTTCATATCTATAATACAATTTTACGAGACTTATGTCTGAAAAAAGACTGATGATTTCTGAAAACGAATCTCCCAATAAATAGAGGGTAGGCCTTACTCCTCACTTTTTTCCTCCCTACTCGTGTATTCCTCCCACAGGACATTTTTATAGATTTCATAACAACTTAAGATAATGCACCTGCAGGTCAATGCACCATATTAGCTTTATTTCTCAAGCTTAAAGGATCAAGATAATGCCTATCTTTTCAATTTTTGTTAATTGCCTAGTAAGAATTTTTTTTGTCAATTGATGTTCCCCACGGGTTTTTTTTTCAATTTTTGTTAATTTTTTTTTCAATCGATGTTTACCACAGGGCATTTCTCTCGATTTTATAGCAACTTAAGATAATGCACCTGCAGGTCAATGCATCACATTAGCTCCAGTAAGATTTCCCCATCTATGTTCGACACCTTACCTCAGAAATCCTTCTTCACCCCCCACCTGAATCCTTTCTCGACCCCCCGCCTCAATAAAACCTATGAACCCCCCCTCTACTTTTCACGTCTACAGCTATGAGAGTTCTACCACAGCACTCTAAAAAAAAGAAAGTGTGGTAGAACTTTCATAATCTATCTACTGAGATTGGTTGCTGCTCAGGTGGTCAGTTATCTTGAGGATAATGATTTATTTGATGCTCTTCAGTCTGGTTTCCATGAATTTTTATAGTACACAATCAGCTCTTGTGAAATCGACTAATAATATTAAGTTTGCTGTAGATAAAGGAGACTTAATGCTATTCGTATAACGTTATCATTTGATCTAATAAAGTTTCTAATTCTGTTGACTCGAAAATCATACTGGAGATCTTATTTGAATTGGGATTCTCGCATAGAGTCATTATGTGGTTCATTTCCTATTTATTAAGCAGATTTCAGTCCGCTATTGACAGCTAGAAAAATTCTGTTGAATTCCTTAGAACTACCTCCGGAGTTCCCCAGGGACCTGTGTTTGGTCCTATGCTTTTTTTTATTATGATGAACTCTGTGGATCAAAAGTAGAGTCACACTGAATATGAACTGATTAAATACCTATTTACTTGCATTTTAAACCTCATCAGTTATGTGAAGAGATTGATCTTATCACTACTGATGCGCAAGCAATGGCAGATTGGGCATCTAAAATGGTCTTAATTCATATTTAGGCAAAACTAAAGTAATGATCCTGGGTCCAAATCGTAAATTAAAAGCATTAAAGGGAGAACCCTTACGCTCGGTTGGTGTAAGTGGTATGCCACTCCCCTATGTACATTTTACAAAGTGCCATGGGGTGCATCTAACTGGAACCCTGTCTTGAAATCTTAACATCTCTCAAACAGTGAGGAAAATCTGGATAGCTTCAGCGGGTGCAAAATTGTGGTATAAGGTTTATATTCACTTTTCTCTATAAAAATGAGATTATTGAACATAAAAACATATATAAATTAACTGACTAATTTGAATTAAAAAATTATAAATAAATACATAACAAACGCAGAAATTATACAAATTAACTTACCACTTTTTTCTTCTTTGTTGAAGAGTGTAGCGAATATAACCCTAATTATGTTTTGATGAACGTTTGAGTATTATCAAAAGAATTGAAACTCAATTCAGTTGAGTATTGACATCGTAGTAGGAGAATACCAATTCCATGCATTTTTGTCTCCTAAAGCCTCGAGAAAGTCTTATAAATAGAGTGTACTGTATATAGTTGAAAATTCTTAAAAGCTTTCACTCATCAGTACGCGGAGAGAAAATTCTAATAAAAATTACCGTGCTCAGCACAACAATCAAATTTGTATTATAGATTCAATATTCATTGAGAAGAGTAAAAGTAAAAATTCTTATGCAGCACGGTCATATTCGATGAATATTAATTTTTATTCAAACTTTAAACAAAAATCAGTAAGTGACTAGAAAAAAATAAGAATCTGTATATAATTTATTAGGAACCGTGTGGTAGGAAAAATTCGGGTGCTTTCCTATGAATTTTCTTATTCTCGAGAGTTTCCGTGCTGGGTCGATAATCTTCGAATTATCAGTCCAACACAATCTTTCTTTGTATTGTAAGACCGTTCACACAATCAAAAACATACGCCGTAACGTACAATTTAAAACGTAGGCGTGCATACTAACATCATAATAAGTTAAAAATTGGTTCGTACGCATGCGTACATCTTACGGCTTTTTTTTTTGATTGTGTGAACACCCTCAGAGCTATAGTTACTTTTTCAATCCTGTAAACAAAGATGACATTCATATTTTTCGTTACGATTTAACATTGGCCGCAACACGTTATATTATTACAATTTATTATGAACTTAAACGGATTGACGCGGTGGACTCATGGGTAAGCGTCAGCTTGACACACGATGGGTCACGGGTTTGAGTCCCGGCCGAGACAAAAGTCATTTATATGATTTTTCTCGGGCCACCGTGAGCGGGAGTAAGATCTCTTCGGTGGTTGTATCGACGACACAGGTTTTCTGCGTAAGATTCCGATCGTAGGGATGGGGGGGGGGCAGTATTGTGAAACGTGTGCCGTATTCATTCCAACGAATTAATTAGTTAAGAAAGTAAATTATCAATGAACCTATTTTATTTATTTATTTGTTTATATAACCAAAAAAATTATCACTAAACTTAAATAAAATTGTTTGTCGGTAACGTAGTTATCACAGCTAACGTTACTCAATTTTCAGATGCTGCCAAAGTAATTGTCATAAAAGTGATTGATACATTGTCTTATGTAACTTATAATTTTGGTATGTTGATCATTACTTTTTACTTTTGAGTAAGTTCGAACTCACATTCTTGAGCAGCATGGTAATTTTGTATGGATTTTTAAATAAAAATCAACGGAATTTTTTCTCCGTGTAAATTCAGTAGACGGTAATTTCGAAATTTTTTATGGAATGTCAAAGTAAAATTTGTTCTATAACCTACGATTAACATGTACATTCTACAAAATGAATAACCAATTACGTTTTTTTGAAAAATCCTTGCTATCAGTACAGCGCTACGTATTATTACAAAGCCCCTGGATAATAATTTAGCTTTGCATAGTAGAATAACCTGTTATTTTGAAGTCGAATTTTTCAAAAATTTTAATCTGTTCGTAATTACTATTGCGCTACTCAGCAAAAACATTTATATAAGTAACGTCGGTCAATAAATTATTTTAAAGCAGAACGAAACCCCAGTCTGTATGTTATTCTTAAGCTCATTCTGTGTAAAGGATATCGCATATCAAACTCATTTCTTTTCTTTCAGAAATCTTGGAAAATATTTCGAGTATCAAGGACAAGACTACATTTGTTCTCGTCCCGGAGATAATGGCATGCATTCTTGTTATAATTTACCACCGTTAAAAATTGGTATTGCTTTACAAAAATTTATTTTTCAAGATACCTAAGTGTTCGTATATCAAACCGATTTTTTTCATGTTTTAGGTGATACAGTGTGTAACAGCACTGCTGTTCCCTACAGTAATGTCACGTTCATTACAAATACAAGTTGTGTCAATTGGAATTATTATTATACTGAATGTAAAGGGCAGGGCCATAATCCATTCCAAGGCACAATATCTTTTGATAACATTGGACTTGCGTGGGTAGCAATTTTTCTTGTCATCAGCCTCGAAGGCTGGACAGATATAATGTATTATGTTCAAGACGCTCACTCTTTCTGGGACTGGATATATTTTGTATTATTAATAGTTGTAAGTTTTTTTAACGAAAATGTTAGTAAATCAATTTTTATAGTGATTCTGATGAGTATCAATCTAAATTTCAGATTGGTTCATTCTTCATGATAAATCTCTGTTTAGTAGTCATAGCTACACAATTTTCAGAAACAAAGAAGCGTGAAATTGAACGAATGAAAATTGAACGGGCACGATTTCAATCCTCCAGTACATTAGCATCATCAAATAATAATTCAGAACCAACAAGCTGTTATGCTGAAATAGTAAAGTAATTCATTAATTACCTTCTAACATTCTTGAATTGTGGCAATATTTATTTATTGGAATTATGTATTTGAAATTAATTTTAATAGATACATTGCTCATCTTTGGCGAAAAGGAAAGCGAATGGTGCTGAAAAGAATTCGAATGTGGACAAAAAAAAAAAACGAAGTAGAAAAATGTTTTCTGTCAGATGAACGATTGGATTTGTTTCGTTCAAATGTTATTGATACGCAAGTACATCAGGGTAAGCGCATTTTATAGTGTTGTGTCCGCCCTATTCTTAGAAATTTTCTTTCCTTTTCCCTTTTATCTTTTTTCCATAAACCAATTAGCCCACATAAATTTATAAATAATAATTTAATAGAACAATTGTTATTATTAACAAGTGATGTTTTGCTGATGACTTAATGTCGAAACGAAGTATCGTTTATCGACCTAACTGACAAAGCTGCAAGTTTGATTATTCGGGACCTAGATACCACTCGCGAGTCGTGACATATTAACGAATATTTCACAACGTAACTCTTGCAACTCGAGGTGCAAACGATGTATTATCTTTCGGGTTTTTAGGACACTGGCAACGTGGATCAAGTTCAGGCCTTACTTAAAGAAACACGAGTTCTTCCCAGGGCTTTCCGTCAACGACCGTAGACTTATCAAGACGGCACGCGTACCGAGAGTCACGTGAATATTTAACTCATTAGTCTTAATTCTGATATAGGGTAATTATACGTGAGAACAGATAATTTTGTTAATTTATAAGTCAGATCGATCAAATAATTACTTAAGTGAAAAGTAATTCATAAAAAGATACGGGTTTTATACTCAAATGATACCAATTTATATTATTACACTAAAATTAAAAAAACTCTGAAGAATTATATTAAAATCATTAAACTATCAACTTATCTTCATATAAAGGAAAATTCTATTAAGAACAAGAAAATAAGTTGAAGTACATTGTGAGTGTAATTACACGAATTCAATAAACAATTCAATGAATATATCTACGACCTACTCTTTGGGGTGTGTGTGTATGTGTAAACCAACAAATCCCTTAACGGCAGTGACAGGAAGTCATAACAGAAAATCGTAAGAAGAGGAAATAAAATTCTAGAGGTTCTCTACTAAATAAATTCAAATTAAATTGATTGGCCGTTGGGGATAATTTTTTTCGAATTAGGTAAGATAAATGAACTATATCCCTCGAAATTTAGAAGTCTAGTGCAAGAAAGAGGACATTAGTCCATTACTAAAATTAGCTTACGTCCGCACCTTCGCGACCGCTAATGAATTATTCAACTTCAAATTAAATGAATAAATACAAAAATAAAAGCGGACATAACAATAGCATTCCTTCAATGTCTAGAATAATCAAAATATCAATGTTGAACAGCTTGTTGATTGATTATTCAATTATTCGGAATATTATGATCGATGCAATAATGTATTAAATGTAGTAAATTTATTGATCACTTCCCAGACTACATTTTTGGAATATCGTAGCATGTGATACATAACGCTATATCACAAGTAATGTCAGTAATTACTAAAAATTTTTAAGAAAAAAATGACGTCAATATTAATATAAGTTATAACCGATTTATCTCAATGCAGTAGGAGCAATTTCGTACAGTCGGAATGCAAAAATACATAGATGTATGATTTACTAACAACAAAGGTATTCCGACGTGTCACCTCTAATTTTTTGGAGCTTTTATGTGTTATACTATATTAAATATGAAGAGACACATATTTTTTTCCGTCAAAATGCCTTTTTGGGGGTGTGAAGTCCCCTCAAAATAACCACCAATCAGGGTAGTTTGGAGGTTTTACGTACTTGTAGTCAATATTTTTAGCTAAATGGATATAAATCTACATCAAAAATTAAGAAGAGGCATATTAGTACATAATCAACAGTTTTAATTCATTCATATTCAGAATGCTGAAGAATAATCGACATTTAATTTAAAAAAGAAGGATCGTTGATAAAAGTGTTACGTCCGACTTTTTATGAATGTTTAATTAAATAAAAAGGCGCGAAAAGTTAGGATTGAGATTTTTCCTACTGCTTATGAGATACGTTGGAAGCGCTCGGTATGAACTTGGCCCAGGAGGCGCGGACGTAAGTTAATCTCAGATAGAGGACAGAATTTCTCTATCTTTTAATTTTTACTTTTAATTTAGGGATCGTTCAGAAGGACTCTATCCTTCTGACCCTTTCTCGCTGAGTGACTTTTTCTCGAATAGCGGGAAAATTGTGCACCTTACCTTTTCATAGATAGGTATCCTACACAGCTACGACTGGTGATGGAAGGATTGAACCTGCAGGTTGTCGGGATGTTGTCCAGAGAGGCACTACCAATGAACTGTACCACCGGTTCTGTTTCTTTTGATGTTTATTGATGTTTATTTAATTCGGATTACACCCAAATTATTACACTTAAATTGTTACACAATTTAACACACAATTGTTTTCGTAAGATGTAAATATATTTTTTCCACAACCTAAACTTCGCTTTGAACTTAATAATGCTCGTACGACGTCGTTGAGCTAACTGATGTCATAAAATTCTCGCGACGCTAAGTACGCGGGCTGTCTTGACTAATCTCTGGTCAGTGACAAAAAGCCTCGATAAAAATTGTTTAGTCTACAGGTAGACTCGGTACTTGGTCTAAGTCGCCGGGGGTTTCCAAGAAGACCGGAACGATAGAGCATCGTAAGCACTTCCGATTTCAGCGTTTTATCTAAAAAGTACTTACAATGAAATTCCTTTTATTTAAATATAGCCTCTATTTTGTAAGGTAGCAAAAATAAAGACCTGTTTCTCAGCTTAGTCAGCTTGAGAACCTAAAATTTAAACAAAACGAATTTTTCCATTAAGCAAGGGCTTCGGGTTTCTGCATGGGAAATGAATTCTCTCATGAGGGAGCGTGAGACTCAATTTCCGTCAGATACAGAAATTATTTTGTCAGCGTATCGGTAAATTAAGTATGCGTTTATTTTTGGTTTACCAAAAATAAAGCCAAATATATATATATATATATGAGGGAAGGAGAAAAAAAAAGAAAAGAAAAAATGGTAACCATAAAGTCGGACATAACAAAAGGCTCTTTCGCTCGTTAGCCACTTGATGTGATTGAAATTTTATTTAATAGTATATATTATGACAAATATAAAAAAACAATTAATTTTCAAAAGAATCCTGTAATTGATGGGATAAGTAACATAAATAATTATGCATCTATTATGAACATTTACTAATATAAACGTTATTGTCATTCATTAGAGCACCAAAAAACAACTGTTATTAGAACACCAAATACAAAATTATGATAAAAAAAAGTTTGTTAACTATTATTATTTCTGTATTATTTTATCCTAGCTAGGTTATGGACTATTATAGTACTTAAAACTTGTATGCCGTGATTGTAGCAGTACTTGAAGATGAGAATCATCTTCACGATGAATGTAAAGAGAATACAAACCTTCTTCATTAAAATGCTCTTGCGTGTATGGTTAGCTTTGTTTACGTTGATAAATACCAAGTGTTAATTTTCACAACTCATCTTAACTTGGATGTGGTAAATCTAGAAGATCGGCATTAGTTAGCTCGATCCAGATTAGCCTTTTTTCGCCCATACTCTCTCTTCAACTAAATCTTGTGAGTAAATAGGTTTTCCGGCCAAATCAAGCATCCGTTGAACTATTATTTCATCATCTTCAGCGTTTTTGATACTCGTAGGATGGAATGCATTAGGAAAAGCAGATATAATTCGCACATTATCACCAATATAAGATGTTTCTGTGTTTGGTAGCACTTTATCTAATGCTCTCCAGTTTTTCAACTGACCATTAACAGCTTCAACGACCCATCTGACTTTGGTCACAAGACGCGTCTTGTTAGCATCCTCTGTTGAAAACTGTTTCTGTTTGTTTAGGAATCGAGGAATTCCATGTAAGAGACCCATTTCTTCCAGAAGTTTCAAACAATCACGGAAACCTCTATCAACAATCGTTGCATCATTTGGCTTCAGCCACTCTTTGATATTGTGTGTTGACGTTCCCTGGGTATGATGGGTAATGTCAAGACCCCCTTATTGAAATTCAAATGGTCGATTTTTCTATTGATTGACAAAAGACCCTGTCGGTAATTATCGACTCGATCTTTTGTAGACAACTTAGAACCACTCTGTAGATTGATATATTTTTTTATAGAACAGATGTGAAAATCACTATTCGTTTTGCGCCACTTCTTACAACAGTCACATTGGTTACCAGGCATTATTAATTATTAAGTTCATAAATAAATATCTACAACAACAGCTTCCGAACACAATTTCAACATCTACACTATGCATATACTTTTTGAGCGTGTGAAAATACGTTTCCATCGTGGCACGATTGATAGAGTACACTGTGTACGGTTGAAATAAAGCAATTATCTCTCAATATCTGCGATTCAAAGAGGGGCCCAGGGGCGAACGAAGAAGTCAACAAGTCCGAATGATATTCAGAATAGTATTCTGTTTTAGTTCATCGTTTGTTTCAATCGTTTTCAGTATATTCTATTCTCACGCGTAATATATTTTTCTTTTAGGCTGGAAGCACACAGTGAAACAAATAAAGTAGTACTTACACGAAAACTTATGAACAGTAGTTTCATTATAAGTCGAAAAGAATTTGTTTCAAAGAAAGCTTTTTTCGAAAATATTAATTTAAAGATTAAAAAAATGTGCAAAATATACAAAAAAACACCAAATACTCTTTTTTGAGCACTAATGATTATGACTTACGACATTTTTTAGCACGTAAATCTTATAAAATAAGAAATATATATCTTCAACTGTATAAATGCATTTATAAATAGTTGATAAACGAAACTGTCTCTCTTAAGTTTGTGATAGGCAAAAAAGCATCTTATCAACCCTCCTCCTTTGATGTAGAATTACATACATCAGCCATAAAAAATTCAAAGGTGACACCTCGGGATACCTTCTTTGTAAGAAAAATAATTACTAACAATAACCTGAACTATCTGTACAGTATTATAGCCTGTATTAAGTGTATCTTAAATACACTTCATTTAGTTATCATAGTACTCTTTTTTTCTTTTAGTTGTGTGGTTGCAGTAATGAAAGAAGTTGCTAAAAAGTGAAGGAAGGGACGAGTAAGGGGTGTTCAAAACCCGTTTTATGAAGAGATTTGTTCTTTAGATGTTTTAGCTCTTAAAAATATTATTGTAATGAAAATATTTTACTTAATGAATCTATTTATCAATAATGTTTACGTATCACAATAAATCTTAGGAAACATTAACCAGATATTCTCGTATGTTCAACAGGACATCGAAATATGTCTTTCGTTGACTTAAGCTTTGTCTTCAATGTAATTTTAATGATCACCATTGTTTTAATGGTTGCTTTTGTTTCAGAGCATGATTGCTACACCTATCGACGACCAAGTTCATTAGATAGCGAAAATAATCGATTCAGACCAGCCGACAACCATGTAGATCCTGTGTTGTTTATGAATGATTGTTACCTCTCGTATGCACCGCGGGCAAGTCCTGAAATGTCTGATCCGGAGATTTCTTTAAAAGATTCTCAAAAAGGGCTATTAAGTATTAATCGACTCCCTTACCAGTTTCACGATAATGTATCAAATAAGTGTTTTTCTAGATCAGAGGTACTTTATAGCTCGATGCCCTACTCATGATTGTTAGAACTGTATTAAATGTCTTCTAAAATTTATTTTTTTTATTCCAGCCAAACAATTCCTTACTGCGTGTTCCACTCTCTTATTCTCATCATAATGATAAAATTCAGTTTAGCAGTCCGACAGAATTGAAAAAAATTAGTGACGATTTTGACGCTTTAATCTCAAAAGATGAATATCCATTGCAAGAGTTTGATTCATGCTGTGAGGAAAAAAAAACGCAGACTGAAAACCAATTTACTCCACATGTAATTGAGAATGATAATGGACTCAAGGTATGGTTTTACTTATTAATTTGATAAATGAAATGAGAAGAAATTTAGAATTATAAGAATGAGACAAAAAAAGGTGGCGACTTCGAAGTAGCGAACACTCACTAATTTTGATACAGAATTTAACTTCTCTATCTTAATTTATTGTTGTGTAATTTTGCTCTATAAAAGTGTCAATACGTAAAGAATTATATGAATAGAATGAAAAAATTACATGCATCATTTCTTGATCTCAAATTCAGTTGTTTACTGCCAGGGTCAATTTATTTGGAGCTGGTATATTTAGTAACAGCTTCTGTCCCTTCACTTACAGCGTGCTTGGCCAGCTCACCAGGTAGAAGTAGTCAAACAGCCGTTTTTATTTCGCGTGATGTAATTGTCTATCTCTTGTTGTAATGAGCCAATCTGGATGACTCAGCAGCGATACGTTCGAAAATATCATTGACAAAACTATTCATGATACTCATTGCTTTATTCGAAATTCCAGTATCAGGATGGACTTGCTTGAGTACTTTCTAAATGTAGATAGCGTAACTCTCCTTCCTCTTGAAGCATTTTTTTAAAACCAAAAAAGCACATTTTGCCATAGGGTCACAAATTCAGAGTGATAATTACCGTCACTAAAAACACCTGAATGATTAAAATTGGTTAATGTTCAACGAACTTCTAATTTTTACCCTTTTTCAAAGCATATTTGAAGAACTGGCAGTATAAACATAGATCCCTTAGCCTACGACGAAACAAAATAAGTTTCACTTTCTTACCGCGTGGTGACGCTTCTCGCCCTGTTCGAAAACTGCTGTGTAACGTTATATCATGTTTGCCAATTGTTTTACTTTAAATAAAGCTTTGTTACTAGTATTCGGGTATTATTTACTACAGGTTATGGGCCGTCCCATACCTGAATATAAGTGAAGTAAAAAGTTTTATCCGTAAAGTCGTATAAACAGTGCAAAAAAATATAATAGGCCGCAATGTCGAATAACCTACAAATCGACAAGTTAACCGGCCGGGAAAATTACAGTACGTGGAGATTTGCTGTTAAATCATACTTACAGCACGAAGAACTATGGAGTTGTGTTGATCCTGATGATACTTCAGCGGTAGAAGCAAAGAAAGATGTGAAGGCAAAGTCCAAAATTGTTGTGTTAGTGGAGCCGATCAATTATGTTCACATTGAAAGTGCAACCAGCGCTCGTGAAATGTGGATTAATCTCCAAAAAGCATTTGAGGACTCCGGGCTCACAAGAAAAGTTGGTCTCCTAAAGGATCTAATCAACACATCACTCGACAGTTGTGTCAGTATTGAGGAATATGTCAATAAAATAATGACCACCGCTCACAAATTGAGGAACATTGGATTTAAAGTAGATGACGAATGGTTAGGAACGCTCATGCTGGCTGGTTTGCCAGAGACATATAAACCTATGATCATGGGCCTGGAAAGTTCCGGAATCAAAATTTCATCCGACTTTATAAAGACAAAACTGTTACAAGAAGTAAAAGTTTCCGAGTCAACAGCTTTTTACACAAAACATAAAAGTACCCCCAAAAATCAGCAAAAGCCCAAAGGAAAAGGTCCCCGTTGCTATAATTGCAATCAGTATGGACATTTTAAAAATCAGTGCACAATAAAGAAAAACAACAATTCAAATAATGTTTTTACAGCAATTTTTTCAGCCTACAGCACAGCGAATCCCGATGACTGGTACATAGATTCAGGAGCAACAATGCATATGTGCCGACACCTTGCCTGGATGTATGATTTGCAAATACCTCCGATACAAAAAATAATGGTTGCAAATAATGATGCTGTCACCGTGCAAAAAATGGGTAATGTAAATATAAAGACCACTGTATGCAATGATGAGCATTTAATCCAGGTGAGAAATGTTTTATTAGTACCAGAGCTTAGTGCTAATTTGTTATCGGTTAGCCAGTTAACAAAAAAAGGTTGCAAAGTAGAATTTACCGATGAAGGCTGTGTGATTTATAATTCTCAAAATAGCATTATAGCAACGGCGAGACTAACCAATAACATGTACAAATTGAATACAGTTACTGGCAATGCATGTGCAGTCGCAGCTGTAGAAAACAAGGCTGATTTAAACACTTGGCATAGACGGATGGGTCATTTAAACATTGCTGATGTTAAGAAATTAGAAAAGTGTGCAGAAGGGGTAAATATTTGTAATACCAAAGAGAGTACTTCATGCTTACCGTGCTTCGAGGCAAAACAGACTAGATTACCGTTTCCACATTCTGGTTCAAGAGCTGATACATTGCTAGAAATAGTTCATTCAGATGTTTGTGGTCCGATGGAGACGCCCTCTAGAGGAGGAGCTAAATACTTTATCACATTCATAGATGACAAATCCCGTAAAGTTTATGTATACTTCTTGAAAAATAAAATGGACATTAAATCAGTGTTTGCAAAGTATAAGAATGAAGTAGAAAATCAGTTGGATAAAAAGATTAAAATATTAAGAACTGATAATGGTACTGAATATATGAATAAAGATGTTTCTAAATTTTTGACAGATTGTGGCATCCGGCATCAGACCAGCACTCCGTACACGCCAGAACAGAATGGGCTAGCGGAACGAATGAACAGGACCCTAGTGGAGCGTGCTAAGTGTATGTTATTTGATGCAAATTTGGACAAAGGTTTCTGGGCAGAAGCAGAAGAAATCAGAAGAAATGATTTTCATGGGCTACTGCGATAATACTAAAGGGTATCGTTTATACAATCCCAGAAACAAACAAATTATTACAAGCAGAGATGTGATTTTCATAGAAAATGCTAATATTGATAATGAGAAGTCCGTGTCAATGCCACATCTTGCGAAGATACAACTAAGTTCAAGTAATACAGAACAGTTAAACCAAAGTACAAACAGTGATGTATTGGAAGAGACGCTAAATGCTACCGATGAAACATTGAATCTGTTGTCACAAAGTGATATATCTACTACATCATTTGATAGTTGTCAATCAAATAATAGGGATGAGACTTATTATCCAGATACCGATGATTACAACAGTGACAGTTTTGACAGTTTCAATTTTGAAAGAAACATTACATTGAGACCTCGTCAACGTTCAAATGTAGAGCATTCTTCTCCCGGTCATAATTTCATGTGTGTCCCACAGGACTCCGATCCGTTGACAGTAGAAGAAGCGTTATCAAGCGCAGAATCCAGGCACTGGAAAGAAGCCATGGATGAGGAATACAAATCTCTGTTAGAGAACAATACTTTTGAAATCACAAGTTTACCAGAGTCGAAAAGGGCCATTCCCTGTAAGTGGGTTTTTAAGAAAAGAACAGATGAGAATGGTAAAATTGTAAAGTACAAGGCACGTCTTGTTATAAAAGGTTGTGCTCAAAAGAAAGGTATTGACTACCAAGAAGTTTTCTCACCGGTTGTGAGAATGAGTTCATTAAGATATTTATTTGCCTCGGCAGTAAAGTATAACTTGAATATTTATCAGATGGATGCCGTGTCAGCATTCCTTCAAGGAGATGTCGAAGAGGAAATCTACATGACTCAGCCACCAATGTATGAAAGCGATGATGGAAAAGTTTGTTTGCTTAAAAAATCATTGTATGGACTGAAGCAAGCAAGTCGTCAATGGAATAAAAAATTAGATTCCTCACTAAAAGACATGGGGCTCCTAAGATCAAAATTAGATCCATGCATTTATTACAAAATAACAGGCAAAGATAACATACTGTTTATGGCTATATATGTGGATGACATTTTAATTTTCACAAACAATTCACATACAGAAAAGTATATAAAAAATGAATTAATGAACAGATTTCATATGAAGGATCTTGGTGAGGTGAAATATTCTTTAGGTCTGCATGTACAAAGAGAAAAAGGAAGTATATACATTGATCAAAAGAAATATATTATGGAAGTTTTAAATAAATATGGTATGGCAGACTGTAAACCAGTTATGACACCTATGGAGGTGAATTTAAAATTCAAAGGAAAAAGTGAAGAAACGACAGAGACGGAAGGAGAAAAGGAGTTTTTAAAGAGAGTTCCATATCAAGAAATTATTGGTTGTTTGCTTTACATATCGCAGGGAACAAGACCTGATATTTGTTATGTTGTGAACAAATTGAGCAAATATAATAATAAATTTGAGAAGCAGCATTGGCTTGCCTTAAAGAGAGTGCTCAGATATTTAAAAGGCACTTTGAATTATAAACTAAGTTACAAGCAAAATGACTCAGAAGAATTATGTCATGCTTATTGTGATGCTGACTGGGCAAGCTCTGAAGATGATCGACGATCATGCACTGGCTATGTGTTCGTGTTCCAGGGAGGATCGATCAGCTGGAACTCCAGGCGTCAGCCCACAGTTGCCCTGCCTACGACTGAGGCAGAGTACATGTCATTAGCTTCATGTGTACAAGAGGCGTTATGGTTGAAGCAAATGCAAGAAGAGTTCTGGCCTCATTTGAAGAAGGAAGCTTTAGGCGTTTATTGTGATAACCAAAGTTGCATTAAACTTTCAGGTACTGATGGCTTTCATTCCAGAACCAAGCATATCGATGTGAGGCATCATTTTATCCGGGACAAAGTACTTGGAGGAACCGTTGATATGCGTTATGTCCAATCTGCTGCGATGGTCGCTGATGTACTTACCAAAGCCACACCTCTACCGAAGCTGCAATACTGCTCTACCAAAATGGGATTATGTTTAAGGGAGGATGAAGAACTGGCAGTATAAACATAGATCCCTTAGCCTACGACGAAACAAAATAAGTTTCACTTTCTTACCGCGTGATGGCGCTTCTCGCCCTGTTCGAAAACTGCTGTGTAACGTTATATCGTGTTTGCCAATTGTTTTACTTTAAATAAAGCTTTGTTACTAGTATTCGGGTATTATTTACTACAATATTGACTAGATTGTATAATGTTTCTGGAAAGATTGAACAATCTATTAGTATTCATGATCTCACGGAAACTGTCTTAACATTACTTGTA